ACTTCTTTGTATAAATGTGCCTGCTGTCAAGCCTTGTACGTAACACTGCTCTTGACTTAGTAAATATTACTGGAATCCAAATTCATAGTCGATCTCAAGTCAAAGCATTTTATTTTTATTTTTATTTTTTTTTACTATTTCATGGAAAGCAGAAAAAAGAGCAACAGCACTATAAGTTTTCTGTGATACTTTCCTTTGTCTTCTCTTCGAAGCTCTCCTTAATCTGAGTTCTTAAGTTTATATTATTCATTTATCTTGACACGTTTCCACTGACTGCCTCCTGTAGCTTTTCTAAATAATTTATATGTGTAGATGGAGATAAATTGTGTGTGTTAATTCAAGCTTAAGAGAAGAGGTTGGAGTGTTTTAGGAAGATTAATCCTTATTCAACCCTATCTAATTGATCTGTGTTGGCACTGTTCTTGCCTGGGTTTTAAATTTTTAATAAAATATCTATAAGGGAAGAACTCATCTGTTGTAGTTGGAATTAAAGTTACGAAGACATTTGACTACCCATAAAACCAGATATTAAAATGAACTGAGAACACTTGGTTTAAGGAAATTGGGCTTAAACATTTTTCTTAGGCTTTAATTTTTACTTGATCTCTTAGCTTCTTAAAAAAAAAATCTGAGATGACTTTTAAAACAAAGTCTTAAATTATTATTTTAAATAATATAAGTATTCTTTTACCCTCTTTAAAAGCTTGTGAGATGATTTAAGAGTGTTCAATTTATGTATATTAGCCTCTTGGTTTTCTGGGTGGTGCTGTGGTTTCTTGCTGAGAAGCTGCAAGGACTGTGGACACCTGGCCTTAGAAGTGTCCTAGCATTAGCTTACCCTTCCGTGTTTCAGAGACTGCTTCTCCAGCAATGAAGGCAGCTAACCTGGAATTTAATTTCAGGTGTGTGCCTGAGAGGGAGAAGCGGGGAGGGAGGGAAGGAGGAGAAGGGAAGAAGAGATTTTTTTCCCCCGTGCAAGAAAGCAGTTGTGTGAGGCAGGCTGTATCTTCTTCAACAACAGTTTATATTATATTGGTTTAAATAATTTTTTTGAGGTGAGGGCTATACCTTATGAAATCTTAACTTCTAGGAATGTTCTGTTCTTGAAGTATCCTCATAATAAAAGATAATACCCTTGTCATGGTGATGTAAAGTATAGCCCAGTAGAGTCAATAATATTGTAATAACTATGTGTGGTATCAGAGGGTACTGGACTTATGAGGGAATCACCTCTAAGTTACATAAGAATCTGACCACTGTGCTGTACACCTGAAACTAATATAATATTGAATGTCAACTGTAATTAAAAAATAAAATATTTTTTGAAAAAGATAGTGTTATTTCCTAATGGCTTCTTTAGGAACTGAAATGTGGTTGGGCATTCACTCTGCATTTGCTTCGCAGGTTGTTTGTATCCGCTCCACTTGGAATGCTCTCTCCCCAAAGCTGAGCTGTGACACCAGACCGCTCATTTTGAAGACGCTCAGTGAACTGTTTTCTCTGGTTCCTTCCCTAACAGTCAACACAGCTGAATACGAGGTGGGCGTTTGGAGCTCAAGGCATTGGCTGTTTCTACACTGGAAAGACTTTTGCTTTTTAATAACTTTTGGATAAAATATTTGTAATTCTTTGCCCAAAATCCTTCAGCATGTTTTGTTCTGTGAACATGTTGATATCTGTATGGATCCTTAGGAGTAGGAAGGATATCTACCCTTATCAATTCTGAGCCTTTAAGACTCATTTACATAAAGGATACCAAGTTTTTATTATGAGGGTGTTCTCAAGATTTTAAAAAGTCAGCATGTTAAAAAGTGTTTTGAAAATAATAGAATTCATGGGACCAACAGTTTAAATTCATTTTATTGGTGTTTTAAGTTCTAAAAAAAAAAAATACAAAGAATCTTTCATTGCTATAGACATATTGTCAGTTTGCTCCTAGCTTTGCTATAGAGATTTGTTTTTTACATGTTAGTTCATATTTTATACAAACATCTTTCACCTTCATCTGCATTCTTCAATGAGGATGATTATAAAACCAACCCATCTTAGAAGAGGAAACCAATTTTATGACGACTCTGTGTTTTTCATCCTAATGAATTGAAAAAGTTGGTGGAAAATGCTTTGCTGTAAGATTCATAGATTCCTGCTAACCATTTTCTTCAGTTATCTCTTCTGTGAGTGAAATAGAGAAGGTGTTGAATTCATTTATGCCTCCTCTTTTGTGACCAAATTCCCTTGTATGTTCATCTTTTTTTCCTTTTCTTTCAAAGAGCAGCAATTGATTTTTACTTCTTGGTGGACTTTTAGTTTGAGTCACAGATTTTGATAAACCACCCCTCCATCATATTCCAATATTAGTCCCTTTCATGCTAAATTAGTCTCTTTCATCCTGTGATAAGGCAGTAGGAAATGGTTAGGTCTCTAAATTTAATAATCTTAAAAATCCCATTGTATTTAAAATATCAGTGTATCTAAGTGATGAGTCTGTTTTCCAAGAAGTTTCATTTTATGAATGGTGGGTAAATACAGATTAAGTCAATTACTAGGGGTATAACTTTTAAGGTGATTTAATTTCCACTGTTTGCTACCTTAGAGGTTTATTCTCGGTTTTATCTTTGTCTTAAAATTTTACTCTGATGTCTATTACCTTTTGCAGAATTTCAAAGTTCAAGTCCTCAGCTTCCTCTGGACTCACACTCAGAACAAGGTACTGTCACAAGGGGTGTCCCTGACACAGAACCTGGCGGGGGAAGGAACTACCGAATAAGGTTCTTAGAATAAAAAGTGGAACGCCCTTGAAATGATGGCTTCTTGATTTGAAAAGAATTGCACCTATCCAGAAGTTTAGACTTTAGAAAGTACGTATTCTCGGTTTGCTCTCATTGAGACGTTTTCACCACAAAGTGCACTTACTACTTTGTGAAGCTGACATTTGTCTGAAGAAGGACAGTTGCCATTGTCTCGTGTTTTTAATGGTCCTTCCCTTTCCTGCTTTGTCCCTCCCCCGTCAGCAAGCATATCAAACAAGCAAACGCCCAGTCCATTTTTTTTTTTAATATTGTTTCCAATAAGGAGTATAGAGATGAGGGTATGGGTGATGTATCCAACTCATAGGTGAAAAAGCTTGGATTCCCAAAGGCTAGCATTCCCTCCTGGTAGCCGGAGCATCAGAATCCAGTTCCAGGCCTATCAGAATCTAACCCCTCACCCCCCTTCCTCTAAGCCCTACTACGTCATGGGGGCCTTAGATGATGCATTACTTTATGTTTAATGTCCAAACTGGGATAAAAATCCCTGTGCTTCTGCTCCCTATATCCAATGCTTTTCTCTCCATTTTCAATTGGGATGGAGTCTAAGCAAGTCAATACCGTTCCTGGAGCACTGACCATAGGACTTTGAGGGTAGAATGGGAGATCTTCTTCCTCCAGAGTTGTTTATTATTATTATCTTTATATTAATATTATTATTATTTATTATTATTAATATTATCCTTTTCTTTGTCTCACCTGTATCCTTCCCAGGACGCGGTGGTAGCAAACGCTGCCTATCGGTCTCTGTCTCACTTCAGTGCCAGCGAGCACACGGTGCTCCACCTGCCCGAACAGGTAGGCCCTGCTGCTTTCTCCCTGCCCACCTTCCTGCTGGGCTTCACGACTTGATGTGTGTCTTCCCTCCTCTTAGGAGATTCGTACCCGATGGATGTATACGTAATTATGGATATGTTGTCTATGAAAGATAAGTTATATTCATTACCTGTTTAAGCTGCAATGAACTTAGACACTAGTGGTGTGAGACATCACAGATAGTGACTTTAGGTCTCTCTGAAAAAGATGGAAGACGCCTGTGGTGCCAATGGAGTCTCCTTCGGGTGACCGGGTGTGTGGCTGCATGCCTCTGCCCGGGGCCTACTCCGGAAGATCTGTGCCACCGTGGGAACCACTTTGCCAAGTTAGGACATCAGCTTGGACTTCAAATCCAAGCATGGCCTTAACAGACTAAGATCTATGTTGCTTGTGCAAATGAAGATCTTTGTTTGTGATATAAAGTTGAGGTGCCATGTGAAGGAAAAAAAAAATCTGTTACTTATTCGTTTAGTGTGAAATCATGTGTAGGTTATCGCCAGAGAACTGGATGAGGAAAGTATTACTGTCTTTTAAGGGTTAACACATAGTGTGACATTATCTTGGTGTTTAGACAAAACTAAAAATACACAAGCTTTTCTAGTATCTATGTCATATAGACAACTTCAAATTATTAGGTTGTCTGGAATTGTCTGATTTCACATGTAGTGCTACTACTAATTCACATGCATTCACATGCACAAATGCCTGTGGAGTGGAAGGCAGACACTGTAGTAGAAGAACTTATGTATAACATTATGCAGAATCTGTCCTTGAGGCCAAGTGGCAAGAAGTTTTGGTGAGATTTCTTGGGCTCCTCAGGCATTAAAATGGATTTCCTTTCTCTTCTAGATTGAGATTATATGGATATTAGATACCAGCAAAAATCAGACAAACTTCTGTCTGTTGAATTGAATAGGAGCCACCATGAGTGGGACTGAAGGACAGGCTCCTGTCAAACCAAATCTAAGGCAGGCAGGATTTCCCATGTCCCCAAGCAGCTTGGCTGCCTTGTCATGCAGTTATCACAAATGGGAAGACTTAAGAAACAGTGTTTTATGACTCATAAAATTAAAAAGATGGGCCTTCAGAGGCCAGCGGTGGATGGCGGGGTCGAGTCGCAGAGTGGGGCGGGGAGATAGGTGTGGGGGCGCTGCAGCAAGGGTCATAGGGCAGAGGTGTCCCCGGGTTTTGCAATGCAGCCGCTGAATGAGCTCCTAGTATTTTCCTTATAAGATTGAGCCCCAGGGCTGGTGGTGCCGGCCCAGAGCCTAAGAGGATTATAAAGAGCAGGCGAAGTGGGGTTAGGGGGATGAGCAACCTGTCAGGCTAGAGATGAGGGAGGTTTAAGGAGGCTTCTGCCGCTATAACTGTTAGTCCTGGTCCATGATGGCTAGACCACTGCTCAGTCTGAGCTCTGGAAACCAGGTGATGGAGTGTTCTGAAAACGGACTGAGACTGGGCGGGGGGAAAAAGATGGGACTTCAGACTGCGCTATGGTTACTAGCAATACCCATAGCTTATGGAAGGAAGAAAGAGAATGGGGGAGGGAGAGAGGAAAAAGGAAAAGGAAAAAAAGCTACATGCAAATTTGGTGTGCCAACGCCTACCAGTAGATCTGGGAAGATACCTTTTATTATTATTATTATTATTATTATTATTAATTATTGTAGTTGCTAAGTAATTTCTAATTCACATCACTGCATGATAATTACCTTTATTTTCAGCTATCATTCTTGTACTATATCTGGAATAAGTAGCTTTTATTAAACAACTTTCACATTCTGACAGTGAGGCCCGTTTTCAATTATCTTAAAAGTCCCTGCCGGGTAGGAACTAGTAACATAACACAAAAACTAAGATTTTTGTTCTTGTTGTTGTCAGAGACTACTTCCTCTGTATTAAAGGGCAATTTCAGTTACGAAGCTGAAAGTTACCTGTACTTTCCAGTGAAAATATGTCTGTTCCCCTTTTCTTTTTCTGCTTGTGGAAACTTGTGAAATAGTCTTCTAAATAAGCACAGTATGAATTTCAAGTAGAAATGTAAAAAAAAAAAAAAGGGGGGGGGGTATAGTGGATCCTTATCAACATGGTTACATTTGTGGATTGTAATTCAGCTACTTTTGCAATAAGCACTGCCCTTTTTTAAATTCATCGAAGAAAGATTTCTTGTTTATTAATGCATTAATTTAAAACTGTGAAACTTGTTGGAAGCTAACAGGCTGGGAGAACAAAGGGTGTTAGAGGAGTGGCAGACATCAGAAAAAAATTTAGGGCTGAATAAGGCACTGCATCTAAGGCCAGATGGAAAATGCCATTGGGTAATAGATTTGAATGAGATACCATGTGAGTTAGGGATTTGAAATTAAATTCAGTAACTCATCTTTCTTGTCATTGGTGGGTGTGTTGTATTTCTTTAGGCAGTTCTGTGAGATTATTGGAGATAGACACTTAACATGTGCATGGGTTTAATAATTATTTATTGGACATACTAAGTGCTAGGCTATATATGTGTTTTGTTGTTTGTAAAAATATTGTTAATTTCTTGAAACTTTCAAATCTAAAGTTGGTCAAAAAATTTGGGGGCCTTCATTGAGGACTTGTTGATTCTAATGTTAAAAAGTACACATGAGCCCTTGATGGTTTAGCTCAGTGCATAGAGCATTGGCCTGTGGACTGAAGAGTCCAAGTTTTGAATTCTAGTCAAGGGCAAATGCCAGAATTGCTGGCTCAATCCCCAATATGGGGCATGCAGAAGGCAGCCAGTCAATGATTCTCTTTCATCATTGATATTTCTCTCTCCCTCCTCTCCTTTCCTCTCTGAAATCAACAAAATAAAAACTACACAAGAGTGCTTCCTCCCTTTTAGTTTGTACTTCTTTGAAAAAAAAGAAAAAGAAAAAAAAAACCAAAAAGGCAAACAAACAAAAAAAAAACCCATAGAGAATTGTTTTCCTTATAAAACAATAATGGATAAACATTTAGGTGGAAGATTGACTCTCTTCTCTGACTTGGGTTCATTAAAAAATATTTAGCTATTTAAAAATTAGACTTTTTATTATAGAGGTCTTAAGATAAATTGAGTTGATTTCTGGAGTTAATTTTAGAAGCCAGTAATATAAAAGGACTCATTATGCATGCTGGGTTGGTACTAATGTGGTGTAACCTGTTCGTCTTTGATTTAAGTGAATGTCACTGCATTCATCAGAAGCTGTTTCTCCTTTTAAATGAATTTATGCAGTTACTTGATGTGTTCAAAATAAATTCCTGTTTTTTTGCACAAACTCCTAGGTTTTCATAGGTTACACACAAACAAAGGTGATTGAAAGGTTATCTGGCTCAGAACCCATAGGAAGGCATTTTGTAAGATATGTTTTCCAGTATTCAATGTGAAGCAGATTTTAAAAATAATTTATCATTTTCTACTTGGCTTTTTTATCTGATGTCTCTTGATGTTCCTTAGTTGTACTCATATTGATCATAGTTGTTGCACATAAGCCCAAGCTAGCATCGGGAAGCTGGAATAAATGCCTCTATAAGAGATGAGCAGAAAAGGACAGAAATGTAATGGAATCAAGTTCTGACAAAAGTGCTAATTTGTTCAGGAGAATCAACTCACATTTGAAGAAACGAAATTGAAGGAGTCATCATAGCATTATAAATAGGCAGGGTATGTCATCATACTTAAATCACAGTACATCTGTAGTTTCTTTGTTATGAGATGCAGACATATGCTGTTTACTCTATAGCAGGTAGATTAATATAGGTGTTCAGTTATGTGCATGTGAAATTGGGCAACTTAAAATGGATGGATGAATATATCTTTTTTTTTTTTTTAACCCCCAACCTAGTAGGCCATTTTTTCATGGCTCTCAGAAATATTGATGTCTGGGTGCTGTGACTCATTTTAAGTAATTTAGGTGGACTGAATGGAAAGACTGGATAGGCTAAAATGTGTGCACAAATGATTGTATCCCTTTTATAGTAAATGATTCTGGAATTAGAAGCATTAGTTCATGCACTAGCTAAGGTCCTTCTGAAGGCAATGGTGGCTCCTGCTTCTTACTCTTCTGCTTGAGCCACTAACACCTCTCTCTCCTCTCCTGACTTTCTCTTCTCTTATAGTCTTTCTTCCTTCTTCCTTTCTCCCTCCTTTCCTTCTACCGCCTTCCTTCTTTATAAACAGAATAATTGAAACATGAATCACATTCCATATGATTCACCTGTTTAAAGCATACAATCAGTGGTTTTAGTATAGTCAAAGAATTATGCCAACTAATCACAGAGCAACCACAGTCTAATTATAGAACATTTTATTATGAGTTAATTCTCATTATCCTTTCCTCTCCCAAAGCCCTAAGCAACCATTACTCTATTTTTCTGTCTCTAAATTTGCCTGGCCTGAACCTTTGCTATAATGAAATTATATAGTATGTGGTCTTTTGTGACTGGCTTCCTGAATAGCATATTTTCAAAGATCATTCATGTGTAGCATGAATAGTACTTCATACTTTTTTATGACCAAACTAGAGGCCCAGTGCACAAAATCATACACAGTGGGTGAGGCGGGGATCCCCTCAGCCCAGCCTGTACCCTCTCCAACCCTCTGACTGCTGATTTAAGATCAGGCCTAAACCAGCAGTCAGACATCCCTCTAGCAATTCTGGACTGCTGGCTCCTAATCATTCACCTGCCTGCCTGCCTGATCACCCCTAACTGTGCCCCACCCCCACTGCCTCTGCCTGCCAGCTTGATTGCCCCCAACTGCCCCCACACCAGCCTGGTTGTCTCCAACTGCGCCCCTCCTGCTGGCCTGGTCACCCCACACAGCCTGCTGCTTGGTCATTTGGTCACCCCTCACTAACTCCTCTGCTGGTCGCTGCTCCATGCAGCCTGTTTGGTTGCAACAGTTACTTAGGCTTTTATATAGGTAGATAATATTCCGAGGTATAGATATGCCACGTTTTGTTTATGTCTTCATCAGTTCATGAGCATTTCAGTTGCCTCTGCCTTTTTCTTTTTCTTTTTTTTTTTTTTTTTCGGAGGGGGGGTTTTTAGCTATTATGAATAATGCATTCACATTCATGAACATTCACATGAAAGTTTTTTGTGTGACTGTACATTTTCATTTCTCTTGGTATATACCTAGCAGTGGGGTTGCTGGGGCGTATGAGCTGTCTAACAGTTTGAGAAACTGCCAAACTGTTTTCCAAAGGAGCCGCCCCCTTTTACATGCACACCAGCCTTGTATGCGGGCTCCGATTTCTCCACATCCTCGCCGTTCCTCTGAGTTTTCCTCTGTGCCCCTCCCCAAGTCTCCTGTCACCTGTGAACGTGAGGAGCAGCCGGCTTCCCAGGGCTTGGATGGCCTGACGTGGTAACGGGTACTTCCGATGTAGACTCCAGCTGTAAGCAGTGTTGTCTGCTTCCCCAGCGTGTTGTGCAGATGTTTTTTCCATTTGTCCTGTGGATGTGTAAAAAGTCAGGAAGCAAGGCAAACGGACCCAGACCCATTCCTTCTGGGGGAACTTTTTAGGCAACTGGGACTTGTCAGAATCTCTGAGATAACTCCTGATGATACTAACCCTGGCAGCCTCCGAGTACGTATGCTGACCAGAGACACCGGGAGAACTCCGCTTGTCAGAGCCGAAAGGTTTGCAAGCGCGCCCGGTTTCTCTGGCATGCACTGATGGCAGCAAATGCCCTGTGTGGATTGTTATCACTGTCGTTGAGGCTGGCGCAGGCTCTGAGAGCCAGGCCAGGCCCTCTGTGGACTCAGAAGTAAGCCTGTCTTAGCAAGTGCTGGGGCAGTCAGCTTGCTTTCCCTCCTTCACTGTTGCAGAGGACACAAGTTATGGTTGAAAGGCTTCATTGGACTTGGGGTTATTATACTTAAGAGAAGCATTTCCTCTTTTTTTTTTTTTTTTTCCCTTTTTTAATCCCTTGCAAGCACCCCGGCTCAGTGCAGTTCCTAAATGGAACAGTGCTTTGGGGACCGATGAAGAAGGCAGTCGGCAGGAATTGTTAATTGTTTCTAAAAATAACTCCAGGAGACAGGCTAATGGTAATGACTGGGTTCTGGCACTTTATGGTTATAGCAACCACTTTTATATATTTTGATTTCCTCCCCTAATGCTTAATTATCTCCATGTGGGCATTATGATGGTGTATCAGTGAAAGTATTAAAAATTTAATTAATTGCATGACAGTTATATCTTGTGGAAATTACAATAGTGGTAATCTTCAAATTGCAAATCCCACAATAAAGTGTAGCTACCAATTACAGATTTTAGTGTTTTTATATTCTCTAGCAACAAATTGCCAAGTCTAAAATAAAGTCAACTAAAGCATTCTGTTCCTTCCGGATCTCCACTATACATTCCACTGGAGGATTTTAAGCTTTGTCATAGAGATGTGGGTGGAATCACAGATTTTAAAAAATGTATTAAGATTAGGCAAAT